TTAATATATATGTTAAGTGTAAAAGTTAGAATGTCGAAATTAAAAAAGTTAATGGTACTAAAAATTCAGATATTTAATTAATAGATAATGATGAAATTTAAAATTCGAAAAAAACATAAGATATTAAAAAAATAATAATGTAATAAGCAAATAAAATTATTAAGTCAATATGATAACAAAATATATATATATAAAATATATAAAATATATATTTATATTATTTTGTTATTTATTCATTATATTGTTATAATATCTAAAAAAAAAAAAAATTAAAAAACATTTATAGGTAAAATATTATTAAAAATATTAAAAATAAAAAATTTAAATAAAATTAAATAAGTAAAATAATATTATAAATATTAAAAATAAAAAATTTAAATAAAATTAATATATAAAAAATTAAATAAAATAGAAAAGTATTTAAAATAAGTATATGTATATTTATATGTATATTTTTATATTTATATTTATATTTATATTTATATATATAAATATATAAATATATTTAAATATATATACATATATTTTATATATATAAATATATATATTTATTCTTCATTTTATATATATCAATTTTAATTTTTTTTTTTAATTATAACTTTAAGTTTTTTAATTTTTATTTTAATTATCTTATATTAAAAATATTAATCGCAATATTTATTATTTATTATTATTTGTATAATTTATTTATAATTTTGTTTCTCTATATATTCTAATATTTATTAATTTATTTAAAAATTTTAAGTTATTAATAAGTTTCTAGGTTTAAAGTCTATTAGGAAAAATTATTTTTATTTATATATGCTTAAGATGATTCTATATAAAATAACGATTTATTTTATTATTTTTTATTCTAAAGTTTCTTTCTCTTTTTTTTTTTTTCATATATTATTTAAATAATTCTATAAGTTTTGTTGAAAATTATACATAACTATTTTTTTATTTAATACTTCTTTTTATTTTATTATATATCTTTGATTAATTTACTTTAGTTATTATCATTCTCCCGATTTCAGGCTTTCTTTCCTTTCTTCGTATTCTTGAACCTTCTTATATATTGATATTATTTCTTAGTTTTCTTATTTTTGCTTTTTATTCTATATTCTGGTTATGAATAAACATATTTTAGATAATATGTCTTTTTTACGATTTATTTTATAATATTAAATTTTTATTTGTATTCTTTTATTATTTTTTATTGGATAATAGATGTTTTAAGCATTTTTTTAGTTTTCTTATTTATATTTTTTTGAAGCTGAGATATAATATAAAGTATATATATATATATTTCTTTTAATTATTTATTAATTTTTTAATAAAATAACTTTTTGTTATTAAAGATATAATATAAATTTTTATATTTAATTTTTGTTAATATATATAATAATTTTGAATTAAAAATAAAAATAAATAAAAATGATATTTTATTTATTTAAAACATATTATTAGATTAATATTTAAAATAATTTATATTTTGAATTATATTAATAGATTTTTAATCAAAATAAATTAAAATAAAAAGTAAATAGAAAAATAATTATAAATTAAAATAAATAGCTATTTTTTATAAAAAAAATATAAATATATACCTATTATTTTTATATATAAAGATATTATAAATTTTTTTTATAAATATGATCAGATTATATAATTTATAATAGTTTTATTTATCAAAAGATTAAAAAAAACAATTTATTTTTAATAATAAAATATATATTTAATTAATAATATAAATATATATTTATATTTCAAAAATTAAAATAATTAGATTTTTAATAAAAAAAATTAATTAATTTTTTATTATAATTTTAAAAAAAGACAAAATAAAAATAAATTAAACTAAAATTTTAAATAGTATTATTTCTTAAATAATAATTAAATTACATTTATTTTTTTTTTGAAAAAAAAAAAAATTATGCTAATATATATATGTATATATTTATATAAATAAAAACTTGTAATTGACTTTTATTTTTTCACAACTCTTCATAATCACTAACATTATCCACTAAAAAATTTAAAATAAAAAACAGATAAATTAGTTATATTTTATTTATTTACATAATGGTAAAATATTATTTTGTTTTCCTAAATATTAATAACCAAGTTAGAAATTATTTACATCATTAAAAAGATTAGTTCCACAATACTACTATTATTATTATTATTATTATTGTTATTATTAACTATTCAAATAGTTTTAATTGCCCGTATAAAATGTTTAAGCATTTTTAATATTTTATTAATACAAACTTCCCCCTTCTTAACCATTTAATTATTAATTATTTTAATTAAATTAAATGTTATAACAAATATTATATTAGTTAGGTTAATTATAACCTTGCAATTAATATTAATATAATGATTATTAATTATTCTGTTAATTATATAGATAATTAGGAGGAATTTGATTTTATTACATCAATTAATAATAATTATATGGCGTATTATAGTTTATTAATGAAGAATCTTAATTTTAGTTAAACTTAATTTAATTTTCATAATTATAATCAAAGCTATTTTAAAGAATTACCCCTGGCTAAGTAAGTTATTATTACTACAATTATAATTATGATTATTATTATTAATCTTATTGTTATAAATGTTATTAATTTTATAATTGCTATTGTTGTTATTATTGTTATTATTACTGTTATTATAATTATAATTATTAAGAATTTAAGTTTTAATGAATATTAAAATTAGGAGTATGTATATTACTATTGTGATTCGAATTATTATTAATATTTTAGCTATTAATCTATAATGCATAATTTTATTAATTTTATAGTTTAGTTTATTTTAATTTTTCTTAATATTATTAATTTATTTTCTCCGAATTGGATAACTTATTTTTTTTTTATTATTGTTTTAAAATTAATTTTTTTCTATAATATTATGTTATAAATTATTTTCTTCAAATTTTTTCATTTCCATTAAATCATTTTATAAATTAAAATTATTTTATTAGTCTGATTTTTGTTATTATTAAGAAGTCTATATTATTTAATTTATTAATTCATTTTCTTCTTATCCTTAATGAAATTTTTAAGCCTGCTTTTAATTTTTTCCACTTTATTATTTTTTTTTTTTTATAGTAATTGTTTTATTTTATATAATTATTATTAATTTAATAATGTCAAGTCTAATTCTTAACAATCTTTATCATTATCTTTTAAATTTAATCTATTTTAAATTTCTATTATCTCTTCTAAATTTAAAATATTTATTTATTCTTGCATTTTTTATATTTCTTTTAATGATATAATATGCTTATCTCGAAATTAACTATAGATTAATTATTAATAATTCAATATTATATTTAAAATTAAATAAAAATAATATTATATTTATAATGTTTAATTTTTTTTAAAAAAAAAGCATATATATATTCTATTTTTTTATTTAAAAAAATTTAGTTGTAAAAATAAGAAAGCATATATTATTTTTTCCTTTTTAAAAATTTTAATATATTTTTATTTTATATAATATTGTCTATATTTTTTCCATTATTAAGAATAAATATATATTATATTTAAATTATTTTAATTTTTAATTTATAATTTTTACTTTTTCTTTTTTTTAAATTAATTATATTATGAACTGAATATTTAATTTTCTATTTTTTTTAATTCTAATTATTATTATCTCTTATTTTTCGTTTTTATTTATTCAGGTTAAAAATTGTCTGATTTTTTAAGCTTCTTTTAAAATAGTTTATATGTATCAAATATATTTTAACATATATTATTTTTATTATATATACATTCAATTTTTTTATAGGCTTAGTTTATTACAAAGAATAATGCTTCGGTAATATATTATTAATATATGTATATTATGTCTTTGAAAAATAAAATTTAATTGACTATTATTAAAAAAAATTAAAAATTATTTATATATTTATTTACTTTTATTATATTCATATTTTTTTATATTTTTATTTTTTTTATATTTTTTTTAATTATTAAAAATATTATTTTTATTATAAGTTTTTTTTATATTAATAATCTATTAATAAATTAATTTATTTTTGTATTAAAAAAAATTGTTTTAATATAATTTTATCTAAAAATAAATTATATATAATAATTACATTATTATATATTTTTCTTTTATATTAAAATTTTTATTTTATATTAATATTTATATTCAATAAATTAAATTTTTCATTATTTTTTAATTAATTTAAATAATATTAACAAGATTTTTAAATTGTAATTTTTTATGAACATATATATTAAAAATTTAAATAATATATTTATAAAATAATTCCTATAAATAATCTGTATTTTATTATTTTTTTATTTAATTTAATAATTTGAAATATTATTATTATTAATATATTTAATATTATAATTATATTTTTTCGATATTTATTTTTTCTAATTTTATAAAATAATACCACAAAAAAAAAAATTATTTTACATTTTAAACACCCTTTTTTTTTTTTGATTAAGTTTTAAAATTAAATTAAAGAAAATAAAAATATGAATAAATAATAATCTTATTTTTATAAATTTATTATTATTATAACATAAAAAAACCAAATTTTTATAATATTGCCATTAATTATATAGCAATTTTTTTATAATACGTAATATATATCAAAATTATGTTAAAATTTACAATAATATTTATGCTTTTTCATAGAAAAAAAAAATTTTTCTTTAAATACATATTTAGTTTTATTAATATATTTAAAGTTCGATTTTATTATAAAAAAATTCGTTATACACTTTTTAAATTTATACTTATGAATATTTTGTGTGCAATAAATATATTGATGATATATATAAATGCATTACTATCAATTATATATTCAATAAATTTAAAGAATTATTAAATAAATTATTAAAAATAAGTATATATTATTTTTTTATATTTAAATAAAATACTTTTAAATATTAAAAAATTATATATGAAAAATAATTTATCACATTATTTAACTTGTACTGGAAATTATTTTTAGATTTATAATATTAAATATATTATATATATTTTTTTATTAATATATGATATACATTATATTTTATTTATTAAGCCAATCTTTTTATATTAAGGATTTATTTTTATAGAAAATTATATCATTTCATTTTATCTTAATATGATAAAAATAGAAATTAAACATAAAAATTAAATTATTAAATTGTTACTTATTTATAGATTATTTATTATATATTTTTTTAAAAACTAAATAAAAAGAAAGACCATAATGAATTTTCTCAAACCTTTTTGTTTTTTGATGATTCAGTTTATAAAAAAATAAAATTAGTATATATATTAAAAAAAATATCAAATATAATAATAAAAAAAAAGTTAATAAATATAAATTAAAATATTTTATTTTTTTAAAAAAATAATAAGAAAATCCTGCTTAAAATAATTTATTTTCACATATAGAAAAAAAATTATATCAAAAATTAAAAAATAAATATAATACAATCATTTTAAATAAAATGGATTCTTTTTAAAATACATCTATTATATAAGTAAAAATTAAAACTTTATGCAATTCTTTATTTGAATTAAATCTTCCAAAAAAACGTATATTTAAACATATAATAAATGAAATAATATAATAAAAACAGACATTAATTAAAGATTTAAAAAAGAAATTTATAAACTAACTAAAGTTCCTTGTTAAAGCCAAAGATTATTATTTATGGGAAAGTCTTTAGATGACCACAACACACTCGAAAATTATTGTAAAAAAATAATAATAAAAAAAAAAAGTAGTAAAAAATAAAAAAAGTGTAAAAAAATTAATCTGAAAATGATCCTATAGTAATAAACCTAGTAGCAAAAGTTTAAAAAATATAAACTAACCAATCCCGAAACCCACAATAATCAAATTCCTAAAGAAGATAATAACAAAGAACAACTAATAATAGTAATAATAATAATAATAATAGTAGTAATTAAAGAAATTCCTAAATTTAAAATTTTGTATAAAGCATAAATAATGCAATATAAAATGCACAAAGAACTCGTGGAAGAAGAAGAGGAGGAAACAACAATACGGCTTATATAAATACAAACATAACAAACTAATAAAATATATAATAGTAAACCTAAATATTATAAAAAATAAGTGAATGTTAATCTCATTTAAATATTTTAGATTAAATTTTCAATTCTATAACAGAAAATTAAACTTCTTAAAGAAATCCCTAATAAAATTTAAGAGGAAATACACAAAACATATATTAAAAAGTAGGAAGTTTATTAATAGAATTTCAAATACAAACCTAAAAAATGCTTCCTTTAATTTTTTAATTATCATAATAATTACAAGTAGAAAATATATAATAATAATATACATAAACCGAGATTATTAATATATAAAGTTTGACTCTTTTTGTCCAAAACTCATTCAATTAGTTAACTCTTAGTATATAAGCAATAATACAAATTTTAAATTCAATCAAAATAAATACTAATTAATAAAATAGCATTAATAATAATAGTAATAATAATACATAATAAAATAATGATGAAGATATTTAATTAAATTTCATTAATATGGTAGTAGATGATCAAAATCTTATTTCTGTAGCTGAAATTTAAGCAGATGAGAATGTTAATGTATCTAGAATTGTTAATAATATTTTAAGAGGAATTAATAGAAATGTAAGAAGAAACTCTAGAATTTCTAATAGGACTAGAATCCAAGCTAATATTATTGAAGAGGATGATGATGATGATGATGATGAAGTAGAAGAAGAAGAAAGTTACGAAGACGAAGAATGGGAAGATGAGGAATAAAAAAATGAAAATAGTTAAGAAAATAAAAAAAAGACATTGAAAGATATTATAAATAATTAAAGTAATATTAATTATCTTTTGATATAAATATTTGAAGAATTTTTTGTGGAAGATATTGTCAAAATTTTTAATGGTATTTTATTTTTTAATTAATAAAAAATTATATTTTTTTTTAAAAAAAAGGAGAAAATATTATAATTTCTAAAAAATAAGAAGATTTATTAAAAAATAATTTCAAATAAATTTCAATTGAAAATTTAGCTAAAGAAATTTATTTTATATTCTTTTCAAATTTGAAAATTTAAAACTAAGATTTAATAATTTAAATAATAATAAAATATATGGAATAAATTAATCATTTTAATTAATCAATAATATTCATTTAATATATTTAATAAATATTTATTTAAATGATTTAAGAATTGACAAATTAAATTATATTATTAACTAACTTAACAAAAGAGGAGTTTAAAGAATTAATAAATGTTTAAATTAATTAATTTATTCTTAAAATATTTAATATTTAATTATAAGATAATCAATTATTAAATTTCTGGAATTTAATTGAAAGGAATATTTGAGAAAATAAGATAAACACTTATTAAAATATATAATTTATATAAATAAAAATTTATAAAAAAATTAATTATTTATTTAAGTTTCAAAGAAAAATTAATATAACTTATATATATATGTTTTAAATTAAAAAATTTAATATAAAAATAAGTTTTTTTTATAATTTTAAATATATATTTTTTAGTTTGACTTATTAATAATAATAAATTATAAAAAAATAAAAATTATAAATATTTTTTTGTTAAAAAATCTTAAATGAAGTTTAATATTATAATTCAATTATTATATATTTTTTTTTAAAAATATTAGAAACAAAATAATAAATATTAACAAATAAAAAAGATAATAAATATAAATAAAAATCTTTTTAAAAAAATAAAGTAAAAAATATATTTTTATATAAATTCTTATTATATT